CGAACGGCGCGGGTCGGAAGAACGCGAGGCACCCGCGCACTCGAAGTGACGCTAGTAGAAAGAAAAAACGACTGCCAGTAAAACATTCGTCGAGAAGCGAGATACAGCTCGGCCAATCCCGAACAGCTGATGTGCTATAAAAATGTATATTAAAGAGGATGTTTTGCTCCCTTATTCCCAATTCTCCAGATAAAAAAATTATAATTGTATTTGAACGATTTGTTTTTCCACGATGAGTAGAAAAAATTACGACAATCGCCTCCTTAAAAATGTGGTCATTAATATATTTTTTCTGGAGGGCAAATGTACTATTTAGGTTTGCTAGAAAAGGTTGCCTATATTTAATAATATTCTATAAATATATTAATATTTATAAAATAATATATTCTATAAATATATTTATGTTAGATTATATATTATTTGTATTAGTCTTTCTTTTTCACATGACGTTAAAATATGAAAGACCATATCTAATATTGAAATGGGCAAAATTCTGCAACTAAATAGATGTATCGATATTTTTGTCTCGCAATCATAAAAAGTCCATAGATTGGGAGTGAGAGGTGCTCGTCTTAAAATAAACAGAAAAATAAGCTTTGTTAAAGATACTTAAAGATAAATTTGGTTTGGCCTTCGTAATACAAAAATTATTACAAGTGTTCACTTCATTGCTTTATTTTAGATAATATATGTCTTCACACCCGAACAGTTCGTAGCGTTTCAAACTCATCAAACCCATATTTCAAACAAACCTCAATTACATTTTTTCCATTATTTATTCCTTCCCTTTCTGAAGGAATACGAAACGTCAGTAATAATGCGATAATTAAAAATGGGTTCCGTCACCCATTGTTTCGTGTGTTTTTTTCTATTTCGCTAGTACGGCAAATAGATAGGTTCCTTGTCTCATTCGAAAGCAAACCCACATCCCATTAGAATCACTAGTGATGTATCCTTTTTCGAGGCTCTGATTTCAATCTTTGTATTGAATGTTCGTCAATCACTTGTCCTCGGACAGGGAGCGGTAGCTTAGAGCATCAACTGATGTCACTGCATTGCCTCTGACCTAGTGGTCCTAGGTTCAAGTCTCGAAGGTGGGAGGATTTTCGACACTACTAGAGAGCTAGGTCGAACTCAGTCGCTGTCTGGAGGACAATTCTAGCAGTCGGCTGATCTGATCAGAGGTTTTCTGTGATATCTCGGAACAATACCAGGCGAATCCCAGGGCAGTACCCTAACAAAAGGGCTACTGACATTGCGCGATCTTTCATTCCTCTTTCTTATCCTATCCTCACACTTTACTAACACACACTAACACTTACAACTACTACACTACCACTCATGCCGGAGATAACCTGATGAGGAAGACAATACCCGCAAGTTGTCGTATCTCGTCACCCAGAAGATCACCACCCCCTCCCTCGATTAAAACATGCACTACGATTACGGGACTATTAGCCATGGACGCGCCCGAAATCACTAATCAATCAATTGAAGCTCCCGGAACTAATTTATTTATTTAGAGCTAAAAAACAATAAAAATTCTTCGTGGGGTATGGGGGAGTAAAATCTGTGCTCGACCTGCGGAATCCTGACTTCTCTCTTCTGGCTACGGCATTCACTGAATCTCGAAAAACAAAAAAACAAAAAGATATAGAAGGCATGAATGAGCAAGCCCATTTCGTTTGGACTTCCATTTTCTGCTCCGCTCTGCGCATTACTGAAGAGTCCTGGACAAGAGGGGCCCCGGGGGCGAAGAGAACGGCGAGGGCAACGCTCGCGTGCGTCTCGCGCTGCTCATATTTTTCCGGTGACAGGCGGCCGCCATGATGGCAATCGGAACAAATGAAGGCGGCGCGCGCGCACAGCCTGCGCCGTTTGGCCGCGCAAGCGAGCTGCCGCCGTTACGTGGGTGGGCGCAGTTGGCACAAAGTTGATTTACATCACTATTTCAAAAATAATGGATGTATTAATATCACTACTATAACCAATAAACTTTGCTAATTATTTTTTTAATGTAAAAAACGCATATTTTTGTATCTCATCCTCGAAACACCAGAACCTGAACAGTACAGTACATTATGCGGGGAACCTGAACTGTGAAAAGGATGTTCAAGATTTCTGACCGTTTATTACAGGGAGAGAGACTTAGATCTGTGAGGTTAAAAGCGCGCAGAATAAAAAAAAGTAAAATAAATTAGTATTTTTTTTTTGTAAATTTAATATTTCTTCAAATATTATTTGAATTTGATATTCTTCGCGTCTCTGGCCGTCCGTATCGCTGAAAGAGAGATCCAAAAGAACTACTCATCTTGCCAATGTAACATATTTTTACAGAAAGGTCTCATTTTGTTAATTACTTTCATAACTTGAAAGGCCCAGGGGGAGGGGGGCTCGGAAATGTTAAGGGCTTACGACGCATCAAATTTAGCACAATCGAACTTGCATGGAAGAAGAAAGAGAACTTCCCAAATAGTTTTGAGTGATTTAAAGAAATTTTATACATACGCAGGATGTGCTCTCTACAGATACATCATAAAGAGAAAGTAATGAAAAAATATCGGACGCACGATTCAGAAAACCCTTTGTGAAAACTACTAGGAGAAACGAAAGTGAACATAAGAACGATTCCGGATCTGTGTAATTTACCAATAGGAACTTCTGCGCCCACATCACAATGAATTCGACGTACGGAGTCTCAAACGCAAGCGTGGAGCCTCTTCATGGGCGTAAGTCTCCTCACTTTAATCCCTGGAGTAGATGAGAGCCCAGGCTCCCGCGCCCGGAGACAGTAGCTACTTGGGTGACCGGGGGACGCCCGCTCCAGTGGTGTATAATTCTGGCTAAGTAATTTTGGGTAGTATTGAAAACATGGTACAACATCGGCTTAAGTGGCTGACATCACATATGATGTCACTGTCTCTGAGCGGGAGGTCCTAGCTTCGAGTCCCGATAGTGGCGCGATTTTGAACATTAGCTTGTCAGATAGATCGAATTCAATCGTTGTCTGGAGGAGAATTCTAGAGGCCGGCTGCACTGATCGGTACTTTTCCGTGGTTTCTCCGATCAATACCAATCGAATGCCGGAGTAGTATCCTAACAAATGGACCACAGACCGCTTGCGATCTTACCTTGCTCTTCCTTGCCCCCCCCCCCGCTCCCCTTACTTAAATACTCGTACACTCACATGCACTACCCTACCACATGCCGAAAGACCAGCCTGGAGCTTGGAGCGGCTAGGGTGGTGCCCCGCTGATGGAAGATTCTTGGTTGGGAAAACCCTACAAGCCGATGTGCAGGTCGGCGCCGAATCTCGTCATCCATCAGATCACCGCCATATCCCGAGGGAAAACATGCACTGAACTTACGGGACTCATGACCTCCCCGGTTGTCGCCGAAGGAAACATGAAATAGCCAATTATCGAAGACCTGGAACAGCGCCTGCCTGGAACTCGGTCCTGCTGCCTACCCTTTCGACTCCGTGGCGCTTCGCCAGCGAAGGGGTCTAGCGCGCGGCGCCGCTCATTTGGGGAAGTGGCGCGGCGTTGCGAGCCGGCTGTTGCGCTGCTTTCGCGTCGACGAGCGCCATTTATTCGCCTCTCTCTTGCGTCGCCCCTCTCTTGCCCCTGTCCCAGCCCTGCATGTCCCCCTCTCCACTTCACCGCGCGTTGATTGCGTCATACGTCACACCGATCCGTTGAGTTGCTTTTATTTCGTTTTCGAGGAATCGGTAGGTGCTTCTGGAAATATTGCAGTAGAAATTAATTTTCCCGAAACAATAGAATTATGGCTTGTACGATAAATTACAATTATTTCTTTGTTTATATATTACCAACGCCGGTTGAGGTGAGGGATAAGGATTATCCTTGCGACTTGAGCGTGCCAGTGATTGGCGAGTCAAGGGTTCGATATCCATTACGTGCCAGAGACTTGGCTGATGGGTTTAAAACAAGTGTGAGGCGCCTGAAGTGGGGCGTCGAAGTCGTAGGCTGACAGCTGTGACGAGTGGTTTTCCGGGTCGCTTCCAAGTGAATGTCGGAGAGCATATGGGAATATGGACCCGTACCTCGAGCGATCTTTTCGCTATCACATCTGCATTCCCATGCTTTGTGCGAGCGATGTGCACATTGCCGATCCTCGCATGGCCCGCCCCACTGATTTAGGACACGTCTTGGAAACGACGGAAGCGGTCATGGCCTAAACCGGACCGTAGAACCAAAATACAAGTTGAATTTGGTTTGATTTAGATCGTAAACTCACTTAAAAACCGTAAGTGACGTAGAGGACAGGCATAATATTCACATGTTTTCTTCAGCTCGAGCACCGCTACCCTATCCTACACCTCTATTTTGCACCGCTGGCCTTTTTCTACATAGTACGCTAGTGAATGAAATGGGCATCAAAGCGTGTTTAGCAACTTATCAAAACTGTCAAGTTTTGCCCACGGGCAATAAAGAAGAATTATTTACATCATGCGTTCGTAGGCTTCCTCGGCCGGAGTCAATAAAATATTGCCTATCCGGAATGAGCCCGGATCGAACCCCACGCGAGGCTCATCCCGGATAGCCAAGAATGAATATCATACCACCTAAGCTGGTTTAAGATCATTGACCCAGAAACTGGAGTACTCTTACATTTCTGGTAAGAAACATTTCAAGTGTATTAATGGTTATTTGAACGCACAATGATTTGCTTAACAACGAGAGTTGGCATTTATTGACATTATTAAGGAACGAAGTTATTAAAAGTAAACACAATTTTATGTGCATTTTCCGAAGCGTAATGCGCACGGTCTCAGAGGCCCTGCGTAAGCGTTCCTGTCGTTACCAGGGCAGTAGGCAGTAGCGAAACGAAGTGAGTGCGGGCCCACCCTAGCCCCTTTTACCCGGGCCTTCTTATGAAAATGTATATCAATCACAAGTAGTGTTAGTGCCTTAAATAATAAAAAAAGGCCCTGTTTTAGTTGGGGCCCGCCCGCACTGCGGGCCTCGCGGTCCCGAATGGCAGGGTTACCCGGTCGGGCGTTTGGCTGTGCGCAGGAGTTCTACCCGGCGGGCGCGCACATCATACGGCAGGGCGCGAGCGGCGCCACCTTCTTCATCATCAGCGGCGGCAGCGTGCGCGTGACGCAGCGCGCGCCGGGGCGCCGGGAGGAGGAGCCCATCCGCACGCTGGCGCGCGGCGACTACTTCGGCGAGCAGGCGCTGCTCAAGGAGGACTGCCGCACGGCGTCCGTCATTGCGCTCCCGCCGGGCGTCGAGTGCCTCACGCTGGACCGCGACTCCTTCATCCAGCTCATCGGCGACCTGAGCGAGCTGCACGAGCGCGACTACGGCGACGAGAGCCGCGGCCTCGCCGCCGCCCCGCGCCCCGCCTCCGCCGCCAGCCTCTACGACGCCGAGCTAGGTCCGCACGCCCCCCCATTTCTCTTCTCTTCTCCTCTATCCTCTCTTCTCTCCTCTGCTCTTCTCTCCTCTCCTCTCCTCTCTTCTCTTCTCCTCTCTTTTCTCCTCTCCTCTCTTCTCCTCTCCTCTCTTCTCCTCTCCTCCTCTTCTCTTCTCCTTCTCTTCTCTTCGCTTCTCCTCTCTTCTCTCTTCTCTTCTCCTCTCTTCTCTTCTACTCTCTTCTCTTCTCCTCTCTTCTCTTCTACTCTCTTCTCTTCTCCTCTCTTTTCTTCTCCTCTCTTCTCTTCTCTTCTCCTCTCTTTTTTCTCTTCTCCTCTCTTCTCTTCTCTTCTCCTCTCTTCTCTTCTCTTCTCCTCTCTTCTCTTCTCCTCTCTTTTTTCTCTTCTCCTCCTCTTCTCTTCTCCTCTCTCTGCTCTTCTCTCCCCAACTCTTCTTTCCTCTTGCCACTCCCTCCCCTCAATCCTTCCCCTCGTTTCTTATCCACTTGCAGCCTTCTCCCTTACACTCTTCCTCCATAGAGTAATTCAATTCTTTCTCTCATCTAGTCATCTCATTCCCCCTCCTCTCCCCCTCCCTTCGAACCTTCCCCTCATTCCTCATCTACTCTCATCCTTCCTCCGCACACTACTCATCCTCCATAGTATTCTTAATTCTCTTTCCTTCTCTCTTCTAATCTTGGCATCCCTTCTCCGCTCTTCTACCACCCCTTCGCTCTTTCCTCCAACCTTCTCTTATTACTCATCCATTGCTTTCCTCCTCACAGTTTCTCCCTTCCTCTACACCTCCTCCGCAGTAAACATTAATTCCCTTACCTTCTCTTTTCTTGTCTTTTCATCCTCATCCTCTCATCTCCCCTCCTGGCCTTTCTTCTTCATTTTCCATCTCTTTCCACAACCTCTCACTACTTTCCCTTGTTTTACTTCTCTCTTCCTCCTCAATTCTATCTCATTATCTCTGTGATATTCTGCCATCTTCCTCCTTTGCTCTAGTTCTGCATCGTTCTTTCTTCTTTTCCCATTATTATCCTACTATTTCTTAGATTCCTCCATGTTACTTTACCTCCTCTCATTTCATTTTTCTATGCTTCTCGCTTCATTTTGCCTCTCGCATTTTTCTATGCTTCTCCTCTCTTCATTTTGCACTCTCCTATCTCTCTGCTTTCCTCTTTAAGAATATCCTCGTTTTTCCTTTAATATCTACTCCGTTCTCATTTTGTGAATTTTCCTTCTGTTTGGGCTCTGCCATTTATATTGTTCCACTTTCGTCGTTCTTCACGCCTACTATTTCCTTGTCTCTGTCATATCTTCTTTATTTTCGTAACCCCGATCTTTCGATAGTTTTCTTCCCAGGAAGAATCCATTTGCCTGTTTATTCGTTTGTGTACTTATTATCTGATAATCTTATCATTGTTTGCCTTTAATCATTTCGTTCCTGCTCCTTTTCTGTGATTTTTTATTTCACTGTGTTCCTTATTAATATTTTCTTCTGGACATTTCCTTTTTGCTCTGGTTTTCTTTACTCTTTCTGTACTTTTACTGTATCTTTACTTTACTTTGTATCTTCCCTGTCTCAATTAAATATTTTCTTCTTCTCTTTAATGTTCGTAAACGTCTCCTTTCCCAATATTCCAGTGATCCATTACAAACATTCAGTTCAAGGGGAAAATGCTTTCCTCTTCTGATTAATGTACATCCTTCATTCTCAGATCGCCACTATAAATTAAATATTCTCTTGCAGAGTACGACTACATCCGCTTGGATGACTTGGACGTGGTAGCCACGCTGGGCGTGGGTGGCTTCGGCCGCGTGGAGTTGGTGCAATACCTCTACGACAAGAACTTAACGTTCGCCCTCAAGTGCCTCAAGAAACAACACATCGTGGACACCCAGCAGCAGGAACACGTGTACAGCGAGAAGAGCATCATGATGAGCTGCAGGAGCCCCTTCATCTGTCGGTGAGTCATTTGCGGGTGACGCAAGGCCACGGCTCGGCGTTGGCAGACACCAAGAGAACTTTTCTGTACTTTAGGTCGTTTCTGCTCTGTAGTTTCCGACACAGTAACGCGTTTGTAGTAGTACAACTTGAAAGTGAAATGAATGAAAGAAAAGAAATAGTGGAGTGGTCAACTGTAAATTCAGCAAATGTCTAGAAGTTTCCTCGAAACGTTTTCATAAACCCATTGCATACTTTCTCACATCTACACCCGCAAGTCCCCCCCACTTCTCTCCTGTTTTCTCTCACTTGCTTCATCATACTTTTCCATCATGTAGTGTCCTAAGCGTTCCCGCTTTTACACCTCCGTATAAACTGGCTTTAGATATATTGTCGCATTTTTGTGTACTCTATCACAACTTGAATCACGTGGTATAGAAGTTGCACAATAAGGAGCAATTGAAGTAAGTTCCGGAGATTAGAGAATGGAAGACGTCAAGTAGATTGTTAATGCGTCCACGATGAAGCATGCTTTTTGTTCCACCATTTCAGAATTCCAGAGCATAAGTTTGACAATAGCAGACCGCTTAGAAGTCAATATATTAAAAAGTATTCAAAGGCACTCATAAAGCAGCTTTTGTTAGCGTGTACCAAACTTTCGGCGAAATCGTGCAAATGTCGAGCGTGCGATTACGCAAGCACAGTCATTGAAGTGTGTCCAGAGACATGCGATGTATCGGTTGACCAACGTGTGAGTGCGTTTTACGAAGGATAATTTGCATCAACGCGTCAAAGAGCGTACAGTTTTATATCCTGAATTAGAAACGTTGCATTTGACATAACAGGGGATAGTGTACGTAATACTAGACTGACACTTCAGGCAACACAGGTTTGTCAGTTATAACACGGGTGTTCAACTTGCAAGGCTTACAGGGCCAACAAAAAACCTTCATTTTTTACTGATGCGTTATATACTGATATGTTATTGCATTTTCTACGGAGTTCGATATACGCAGCATAACTTACCTGGATCGAGAGGACCGTGGTTATGAGAGAAATATGAAAACAGTTGAATGATGTTACATGTTCCCTTATTACGGGAGGGAATTATGAAATATGGAATGAGAAACCGAGTCAAGTTAACATTAGTTAATTCGAAAATAAGTAAATTTGAATCAATACAATTAGGTAAAATATAAAATTATATATTGTGACGTACCTGGGAAGCGGTACTCTCACGACAAAATAAATTATACAAAGGACGGGTACATTTTTTTGAATGGGCTTCCAGGGGTTTGGCGCTGCATTGGAAGATGATCATAAGAAATTCTTTTGTGCATTTAAATATTTTAATAATAGAAACACTCTTTACAAAGATTATTTACAATACGCAATGCGCAAGGCCTTTGGTAATAAGTGCACAATCAACGCTACCTTGACGCTTTTAACAACCACCTGCTGGCTGTAGGCGAGCGGGGCCGCCGTGGCAACGGCGGCGGCGTCTTCGGCAATCCTCAGTCCGCCCCGAAGTCCGTCGGGAATTCGCTCTCCCTCGGCGATCGACTCCGCTGGTCCCCAACGCGACGGCCAACGAACTCGCCGGGGTCCACCCCCAGCCAGTATAAGCAATGTCTCACATATACTAACACGCACGACGCGCGATTGCGGCCCGTCGGCAATTCCGGTCTCAGCAATTCTTCTCAATCTCGCGCGAATGTCTGCACAGTACGGCCCGCTGCTGCCTTACACCCGGGCGGAAATATAACACTTGTCCGTCGGCCACACGAATTCCTGTATTAATGTTTTTGATCTCGGTCCTGGTGCGCACTTCCACTTTCCCTAATCACCTGATTATCAACTTTCATCAAATCTAGTCTCTCACTTGACAGCCACAGTCAATCCAAACTGTTCTTAACACCACCATAAACTTGTTTGATGCAGTCCGTGTTGCCCCGTCCGTGTTGCACTCGCGGCCTCTCTGCGCACACTGTCCCAACCGTCGCTCGCCTCGCCGTCAACCCCCCGATTTGACCGTTGGTGGCAGCGGCGGCGTTACTGCTCTGATCAATTCAGTACTTATTTTAATTAGAATTAGTAATCAATTTTGATTGTTACAATGCAGAAACGTTCTTCGTTTCAATATGTACTACGGGCGTTAAACTGGTTCTAACGATCTCGGGCGACAAAGAGCCCTCGGGTCAAGAGTTCTTGGGCATTTGGCCGCCACTCAATCATTAGAACACTTATAACGCTCTTGGTGAATAAATGACTATTAATATGGTTGCGAGCCATATTTACAGTAGTCGGGTGATGCACACCTCACTTTTTCATTTTGTTGAACTCCGCACTTTGCCCGACGAATGCGGGAAGGGGGAAGTGAACCTTGCATGATATCAGGCCGTAGCAAGAAACACATTGGTGTGATTTTAAAATTCTGAATTTATTAGAAAATATTTTTAAATCTAAACTTGAACCTATTTTTCATTAAGGGGGTGTTGACTCGCCAATGGCGGGTGCGCAAGGCAAGCTATGTTCTCGCTCGATATGGATACAAGTGACTTTGAGTCTTGACTAAAAACCTTTCGCGAGCTGCAATAGTGCGAGCCGCCAATTGGACAATCCTGTGTTACAACATGAGTCAGAGAGAAGGAGAAGACGTCCCGCGCATGCTGTCCCACGCAGCCCAACAACCGTTCCTCCACGCGCGCCTGCCTCCCTGCGCGTTCCCTCGCGTGCTTGCTCTCCGGCACAAGATGGCGTCCCTTTGATTTTATGTTACCTTCTCAAATGCTTTCAAACGTACACTGAGAAAAAAATACTTGTTTGCTGCCCACATATTTCTGTACGTTGCGTAGAGACAGTCAAAACAGCCCAAACAGGAATTCAGTTTACATTGAGAACACACGTCCACGTCCACAGCACATCTCATGTTTCCTTGTTTTAATCAAACACGTTGATTATTAATTCTCGTTCATTCCATCTTTGCTCATATTGCTGTGATCTAAAGATTATTTTCCCTCGAATATTCTTTCACGTGCGCTCTTATCATATTTTCCAATGCTATCTAAA